ATTAGGTCATGAGGGTGGGTCACTCACAAATGGGATTGGTGCCTTATAAGGAGAGACAAGTGAGAGCTTGCATCACCTCTCTCTGCTCTCTGCCATGTGAGGATACAGCAAGACAGTTGTCTTCAGACCAGGAAGATGGTCCTCACCGGATCTGCTTAGCACCTTGATCTTGGATTTCCCAGTCCCCAGAAATAAATGTGTGCTTTCTAAGTCACACAGTCTATGGTATTCTGTTACAGCAGCCTGGCAAAAGACAAAGGGCTTTTCATCACCTATTAGTTATGACTGAAGATATTTAGTACATGCGGTTTTTTCCTCTCCTTTTCTGTCTTTCAAGCCCTGGCTCATGACACTGCCTTCCTTACATTTTCTGTTCCAGCCCTTACTGAGCCACGACATCCCTCTTCCTGGCTCTTCATCTTTGTACATAATGAGTTTTCTTCCTGTTTTACTTATCTTTCAAGATTCACCTCACAGTCACCTCCTCTGAGAATACTTCCCTGCCATATTGCCTCTAAAAAGAACCAGTCATCTCCCCTCTGTTCCTCTTACAGTTGCTATGGCATCAACTTCTAATTTTTTATGTGCTCATCTCTTCTAGTAGACCGGGGCTTCCAGGGGTAAGAGAAGAGGCTTAATTCATCTTTCCATCCCTCCTGCCCAGAACAGTGACTGATAGGGACTCATAAATGTCTGATGAATGAATGAATGGTCACTTCTGATAGCTAGTCATGCCTGAGGTAAGTCTACTTGAGGTCTCTGGTATGACTTAGACATGAATACCTGGCAGAAACTTCCAAAGGTAACATCTTTGTAACCTGGAGAAATGAAATGTTCTTTATTTATAGACATATATGTCAACCTCAAACTTTATTTTTAATTGAAGATCTCTTAGCATGTCATACTATTAACAGAGATTCTTTTAAGACCATTAGTTGAATAATCCCAAATGAATTAATAAAGAGGCCTGTTATATAATTAATTTATACTAATATGGTTGCTTTTCAGAATTTTGTGATACTTGTGGATTTTTCAGCATTTTAATATATATCATAGCTATTTTCTCATTCTAAATAAATATTTGTGTTGGTACTAAATTTAATGTTTATAATTTTATGTTCTTCTTCTGAGAAGGCATCACCAAAATTGTGTCTTAGGTCTTAAAAAGGAATGCCAATGTGCTGACCTTTTTCTGTGCAAAATGTAGAATCAGAATTGACTTTCTTGGAAAAAGACCGAGGTTAAACCTTGGTATAAATTTGGGCAAGTCAATTAACCTCCTTGCATTTCCATTTCCTCATTACTGAAAGTGTAGGATTAGATTATCCTAAGTTCCTCCAGCTCTAAGTTCCATGATTCTTTTTAAAGTCTAGCAAAAATTAAAAACCATGTGATTAATTAGTTTGTACCTATGTCACGCATGGAGCCCTTTGAGGAGCCCTATGATTGTAAATTAGGAAAGTATTACCTCATATGTACATAGAGAAATGAGAAGACAAGGCTAGGTTACTGACGGGTGGCAGGGCATATTGGGAAATTCGTTTGAAAGAATTTAACTCTGGTTAGTATAGTATTTTAGCAAGACTTAAATATTGTAATTTACTCATCTGGCTACTGTTTATTTAGCCCTTTTATATCTCAGGAACTATGGTAGCAAATGAGAATGCAAACTTAAAAAACCCAATGCCTACCCCCAAGGACCACACAACATAGTGAGTGAGACAGATAAGCAAGCCCCAACTGACCAGTGGGAAAGCCTAATGGAAGGGAATGAATATTGAAGGATGTGGTGAATCTAGCCAGGTAAGGAAGCATGTGTAGAAGCAGGTGATGAAATGGATTAGTGTGGGATTGTGGTAAATTTCAGGCAGTGTCTCCAATGTATATAAAGGCATGAACCCGAGAAAGAATGTACTGCACATTAGGTTCTAAGAAGAAACATGGCTTCACAGGTGGTAATCTTCAACAGCTCAATATCCCAGGCAGGTAAAGCAGGTGAGGGTAACACAACTGGGAGTGAGGGATGCTGTTTTCAGCTTGAGGGCACTCTCTCTGAGGAAGAATGTCAGCTCAGAGCTCCAGTGGACTTAGTTTTGTAGAAAGCAAACCTATTGTTACTACAAGGCTTTTACCACAATTATAGTAAAAAATGATCACTTGGGCATGTGGGAAAGACATGAATATAGATGACATGAATAGATAATAGACACGAATATATGGAAATACTAACCAAATTCAGATCACTGCTCTAAAAATCAAGACATGGCTTTAAGCCTGTGTGTTTTAAAGGCTTAATGTAATAACTATCGATATTATTATTGTGTTAGACTTAAGAAGTTCCCCTATCTTATGGTCTTCTTAAAATATCCTTATAGGAATTGACAGTATTTAAAAATTTTGTTTTAATGATGAAAAATTATAAGCATACACAAAAAATAGAGGCAAGCAAAATGGACCCCAAGTACCTATTACACAGCTTCAACAATCAACATTCCACCATTCTTGTTTAACCCCTCCCCCTACTCTTTAAATCCCAGAGAATGCATTCCTTCAATATTTCTCCAAAAGATAAGAATTTTTAAAGCATTATCACACTGAAAAATATTGCAATATTTCCTTAAATTCATGAAATACCCAGTGTCTGTTTAACTTTCTCTGATTGTTTAAAAATGGCTCTTTTTTTCAGTTTGCCCAAATCAGCATCTAAAGAAAGTTAACGCACTTAAATTCTACTCAAAAATGATTTTGCAACAAAGTTACTTTGAAGAAAAGGCAATGCCCTCCACAATAGATACATAAAAAGTGGGCTGTGTTTAATGCTCTTGCTAATAATTACTCTTACTTTGAAGTCAGTTTACCTGAGTTCAAATCCAGATTCTGGTAATTATTGTTGTGTGACCTTGGGCTCAACCCCTTGCTTAAATCTCTTCATCTGTAAAACAGGAATTAAAAAGCACCTATTTCATAGAGTCCTTACTAGGATTAAATTAAGTGAGCTAATATTTGAGCATTTAGAATAATAGTGCCTAGCAAGGGTTATGTAAGAGTTTGTTAGATAAATAAGAACAAGTAAATAAATTCAGTTTTTACCCATGACAACCTAAAATGAATGAACTACCTAAGGATGGTAGGAATGATTCCCTTTAGCCTAGAAATTGTCTACAGTGCCTAATTTAAAATTCTGTCTACAAAACATTTTCCACAGAAGCAGACCACACATGAACGCACATTTGTGTAATGGAGGCAATGGCGGAAGCATAAACCATATACTAGAAAGTTGTACAGAACACCAAGCAGATTTCCTGTGGGTCTGACTTCCTTTGGGGGTGGTCACCAGGGGACACTGGCAGGAGGCTGGAAATGGGAGGAGGTGGAGGTCTAGGTATTCTTCACTGTGGTTCCTTCCCTGCCAGGTCAAGTGTTGGCAGTGATGATTCCTCCACTGAAGGCCACCATGCTTCTCAGGCAGCCCTCTGGAACGGAAGGTTCTAGAAAGTGCTTCCTCTACTGCCTCCTACAGGTCTCCCCTAAATTGTCGTCTGGCTTAGGGGCTTTCTTTTCCCTGTTGGTTTTTCTTTATGATCTCTTTATTAAACTAACCTCAATTTACCCAAGTGAGCCTGACTGATACAACCCAATAACAGGTCAGATACGAAATATGCCCTAATGTTCTGATTGATAATAGCTACAATTAAGGAGATTTTACTCTATGTCAGTAAACCTTAGAGAGGTTCCTTAGCCCAAGTTGTGAGCAGATCTAGCTAAGAGTGAGGTCAGCCCAGCCTGGTGGTTAAGAACACAGACTCGGGAATCTGGCTGCCTGGGTCTAAAATCTGGCCAGGCCACTTGTGTGCTCTTGAGCCTGGGTCCATTTCCACGGGTCAATTCCCTCAACTATAAATGGGATGAAAACAGTACCTATTTCAGAAGGTGGTTGTGAGGTTACAATGTGTTAATTTGCATAACTCAGATAACATCTTAAAGACCAGGAGGCTTATGATTTTTTCACTCATATATGAGAAAACTTCGGAAATTTAGCTACAAACTCATTACTGTCGTTTAGTATAAAGAAAAGGAGGTTCTTTTAGGACCTAGGTGTATTTAATATGTAGATAAACTTCTGTCTTGGATAATACAACGAAATTCAAATTCGAAGATCCTTTCCTATCATCCCAGAATGAATTTGTGCAAACTTGAGGACCATCTATAGACTCTGTATTATTAATGACAAAGAACGCCAGTAAGCTGGAATAAACATTGAAAGAGATGGGTCCAGCAGTTCCAAACATGCGAAAGCATGCCCGACAGTTGCTGATCTTGGAGAAAGAATGTGGTCACCATCTATCACTTCCCTCCCTCTACTGTCTTACCAAAAGAATACTGTGACTATATAACAAAAAAGTATACAGACATTAACCTAAAATCTGTATTTTGCCTCTTAATCCAAGAGATCAAAAAATAAAACTACCTAAATATTTAGAAAGAGTCCTAAACCTCATAGTTAAACCATTTTTTTTGTATGAATATTCCCATATTGTTTTTTATTGTGTGTTATGTATAAGGGTCTTCAGAACAATTGCTGAACACATGATTAAATAAAGAAAATGTTGCTAATGTTTTACTATTTTAACTTGGCTTTGAAAGTCTCCTGAAATGTAAGTATTTTTAGTGGAAATTACTCACAGTAATTATCAATGATTTTTACCTTTAGTCCCACTTTATATATTTATACATTCGTTCAGGCAAACATCACTCACTTGATATTCAATGCGTCTGGCACCTGCTAAACACTGGAAATGTAGATGCAGGTAAGACATGGCAATTGTCCTCAAGGTGCCCACAGTTTAGAAGGGTAGACAGAAGAGAAAATGCAAGCTTACTAATAACCTAGAGGTGCCACGATTGAAACGTCATGGTCAGAACTGGCAGAGACGTAGATATATAGACATGAATTTCCCGCTCCTGGAAAAGGCAAGGTTGCAGAGTTGCTAAGTCGCAGAATGGGCCTCAGAGGGAGAATGCTGAGGGGCAGCAGGTGTGGGCAGGGTGAATTTGGGGTGCCTGCACATTTCTGGACAGAAATGCCAGATCGGCTGTTGGAAGCAAGGGTCTGGAGTTCAGAAAATGCTAGCCTGGCGACTGCGGGGTCAACAGCTTTTAGGCAAGAGGTAAAGCCAAGGGTGTGGAGAAGGCTCCCCAGGAAGAGCGCTCTGCAGGAGCCCAGGCACAGCTGGCTCAGCAGGACCTTGGGGAGATTCACCCCGTGAGAGGCCAGGTGACACAAAGGGTCTATGGTGCCCCCAAACCTTTCAAATCCTTTACTGAGAGCGAGTCTGAAAGGGTGTCATCAATTTAAGGAAGCAGGAGAAAGTACTGTGAAAGCCGGGAAGAGAGAGAAAAAAATGGTTGAATGCTTCATATCTTCTAAGTAAGTAGAAAATCAGGGATTCAAACCTAGTATTCACAGCCAGTCTGTTTCCCCCTGAAAGCCACGGGCCAAAGACTTGGGGAGAACTTCTGAATACAGCATATTCTGCAGAGAAAGAATAAGAGGGTTTGTGAACTTAAAGATGGGTTTCAAGGCTCGCTGTCCGAGAGTGATTTGTAAATATATAGATTAAGTTTCCCCATAAAGTTAGGTTGGAAACCGAGGATGAAAGTGCTTGCTAAGAATGCTGATGCAAAGCTGTCTTGGAAAGGAAGGAGTGTTATTTACCCACGTAAATATGCCTCCAGGTTTGACTCCTCTTATTATTATAGACAGTTGGTAAAGAAGGTGCGCCAAACGGGTAATAAAGTATCTGAAGGACGATACTTTTGATGAGCTGTCTCCCACTTGGTATTCCCTGATCTCATCTCCCGTGGGCCTCTGCGGACAGCCGCAGGAACTCCCTGGCACACAGGGGTCTGGAGTGGGATGTGAGCCTCATGAGGAGGTCTGCTAAGAGTTTCTAGACGGCTTTTCATGCTGACTTACCATCTCTGTGACCCTGGGTAACTTCTGAAGTATCTCTGAACTTCAATTTTCTCATCTCTAAAATGAAGATAAAAAGTCCTTACCTCTTGAAGATTCAACGTGATAATCTGAGCATCGTTAGAATGAGGAATTTGCCTTGTTCTGGACTGATTCCCAGACCTTAGAATCATCAGGATACTCCATAAATATTTGTGGAATGAATCAATGAATGTATATATATATAAAATATGTAAGAGAAAATGTGTCTAGAGTATAATAAGTGCTTAATAATTCTTTATCCCCATCTTTCCCCCTTCCAGAAATTATCATGGGCACTGTCTCTTCCCATGTCCTAAGCTCAGGTGAGTATCGTTCCATCTTATCCATCTTCACCTTTTAATCTATAGATTAAGCAAACATTATTGATCAACTTTCTTGGATATAGAAGACTGTGCCTGAAAATGGATAGTGAAAGTATGATTGGATGAAATACTGTTGCAAACCAACAACTGTATTCAGGAGGTGTCCTAGGACTGTTAATAGGAATTATGTGGGAGTAAAAATGTGTGAAACCCAAAATGTTGGGGAATGCTTCCTTAAACCAGTTTCTTTACTCTGGAAGTTTTCAAAGCCTTTACTATTCATATGTACATAACTTTATTCTCTAACAGGGGAAGAGAATACTCAGCTTCCCATCCATATTTGATTGGAGGATAGGTCGGTCATAGACTATCTCATGGAACTTTTATTGGTATAACTCCTTGGGAAATATGGATCCAACTATTAGCTAGAAAAGCAGGCACAAAGCAAAAAGGATTTATCTTTATAGGACTGTAATTTTTCTTTTCTTTTTTTTTTTTTTTAGGTTCGGGAAGACTTATTTAGGAATGAGATGTGGAGTTCTTGCAACCCAAGACAATAGTCATGGAGGAAATTTCATTTCAATGAAGCACTTAGATGAGGGGAAACAAATGAACATAAAATAAGTATATAATAACACCTTGGGAAAATTAAGCATCTCTCCATTTAACATCTGTCACATAGATAGTTGTAGCAACTAGATTGATTATAGAAAAGGAAACTAGAAGTTTAAAAGGGAAGCAGCTGAGTTTGCTTATATCACCTGCAAAGGAACTTCTTTCTTTGGCAGATTGATATTGTGTGAAGGTTTGGAGTTTCATTAAAGAAGCATGGTTGGATGGTGGAACAGTAAGTGTGTTACATAATGTGGGTGTGTATTCAGACAATACATTACATTAGACAATCAAACTATAATGGTATTGTACATACATTATGGATTGCAATATGCTTTAAAGGACATATTTTCACAGGGGAACTACATAACATTGTGGCATATCTATAACGATGAAAATATGATCAGCACATTAATTATAAAATGACAGGTAGGTTCCTCTGAATCGTGATTTGGTGTTAGTTAGGACTCTTTTCCCCCTTGTGTAATTGTATGATACTTCAGTGTCTATTGTAATTGAGAAAAGCATACGTTTGCATTTTCTGAAAGTCCTGCTATGAATAATGGAAGAATTTTTTAAATGAACAAAGCTAAATAGCACAACAAATATCTTGAGTTAAATTCTCTTTAACTTAAATTCTATGTCAAGGAGTGTCCACACCTGCATATTATAGTCTCTTCATGTAAACTTCCTGCTGAAAGCAGGTCAGAGTTAACAGCTGGATCAACTTGGAGAGTGTTTTTTTTTAAAAAAAAATAACAAACAACAATTACTTTTATGTTCTTTTAAATAATTGCTTCATTATATTTTGTACATCTGTGCAAGGGTCTGATGATGACATTGGTAAATTTCCAAATAGCTGTAAAACTGGGGAATACCAGTTAAGCAATAATATAACCCACTTGTGGGTGAGAAAAAGAAGCTTTATACAATACTCCCCCCCAACTCCTTAAACAAAAGAATCGATTCTGCTCTGTGAGGAAATGGTTCTGCTTCAGGTGAGGATACCAGACATTGTATTTTTAAAGAAGAGAGGCTGTAGGTAGTTCAGAAGAGACTGACAAAAATTATAAAAGGTTTGGAAAACAATCCTGAGAAAGAAGGTTAAGAGCATGAGGATATTTTAGTCAAAGAAGGCTGAGGGAAAATATAACTGTCTACCTAAAAGTTAAATGAAGTTACAAGCAAAAGAGGCATTCCTTATTACTAGTGGTAGGACAGGGCAGTTAGAAGAAAAAAGTTATGCCTTTTCTGCTTAATATTAGGAATAATTTTTGTAACAAAGAATACATATGATGGAGTTAAGTGCCAGGCTTAGCAGCTATGTAATCAAGAGTAGTTTATAGCAAATCCTTCAGAATAATTTGAAGCACATTAACATCAGTCCGTAGCCTGAAAAACGTGTTGGAACTCAGCTCTTCGGGTGTAGATGATCATGTGAATTTTTCATTGCTACAATAATTTGTTCAGTCAGGAAGGAAATGTGTATGAGGCCATTCATGAATCCATAAGTCATTCCTTAGGGATAAGCATCAAAATTAAGAATAAAAATATTCTTAAATACTTAAATCACATATATAACCGATATATGTGATCACATATATAAATCTACATATAACTGATATTTTCAGCTGAGAAGCATAATTAACAAATACAAGAGCTTCTGTGTCACCTTGATTTTCATTTGGGAAGCCACACCATTCTCAACCTCACACCGTGTAGTTTAGGAGGAGTTGATCCCATACCCAACCCCAGGCATGGGCAAGGGACTTAGGCCTGGCCAATGAGGGCTATTACACCCCTGGTCACAGTTACTGGTTCAGAAATAGACTTGAAAGCCAGGCTTCAGTCTTATGTTGGAGCTAACGGAAGGGTGACATCCTCTTTGCTTTAATACTTGTTGGCTGGTAGAAAGAAACCTGGAGTTGCCAGAGGTGATCTTGCCACAGCCTTAGGATGAAGAGGAAAAGTAAAGAAGAAAAATGAAGAAACAAATATCATATTCTTAGGATAGTATGTTAACTCCTGGATAGAGCTATGCCTACAGTTGACTATTCCTGGACTTTTATGTGAGCCAATAAATTCCTTTTGGCTTTTGTTTTTACAACAATTTTTTTAAAGGCAAGGTCCCTGCCCCATAGAAATTACCTTCTAGAGTGGAGAGGCTAATAAGCAATAAGCGTAATTAAATAGTAAATTTTATAGACTGGTAGAAGGTGGTAAGTGCAATGGAGAAATGACAAAAGCAGAGCAGGGCAAGACATGTGTTAGGGGAAGCAAATTTAAATAATGGGTGGCCAAACTAGGACCCTCTGGGAAGGTGACATCTGCATAAATATTTGAAGGATGTGAGGGACAGCTGGAGAAAATGCAATACAGAGAATATTTCTGAAAGTCTAGACCTTAAGACAGGAAATTAATAAAGGGATCTAAGCAACAGGAGCATATCTCCCCTACCTTCCTTTCTCAGACAGAAGCATACTGTCTTATTTTCAGTTGGTACATCTCATTTAACCTTGGACAGTTACTCATTAATAAGGAGTAAAATGTAATGCTCAAAAGAAAGCTCTAGATTTTAAATGCTGAAATTTAGAGCAAACTTTATTTGTCTAAATATATATACATAATTCTTCATATATATATATATGTAAAAACTTCTAAGTTTTCTTGATTTCACTTATGGATAAAGCTCTTGAATATGAGCTATTTGCACTTTGCTTTTCTTTTGAGGAACAAACCAAAATCTAAGTGTGTGTACATGATTCCACAATCAGAGTTTAGAATATTTTCTAAACAACCACTTAGACAAACTACACTAAGTAAGAAACAGAAGCAATCCTGGCAAACAATTATTTTCATTGCAGCACTGACAATTATGTAAATGTGTCTGGAACAGCAATGGGCACCTAATTATGACACCTAATTATGCCAATTTATTTATACACCTCCTTGAATAACATTTTATTTATAACTCCCCCACTCATTCAAAGACAAGATAAAGTAAGGAGACATCCTTCTTAGATGATTGCTTCACTCTGCACTATGAACACAGCTAATCAGTATGAACCTGAACAACCTGGGGTATGCCCTGCCCATGTGACCATTTGTTTTTTGCCTCATCACTTTTGGGTTTCAGAAGGTGAGTAGAAGGGACTGGCTCTGGCTGAAGAACGGGTAGCATCAGCTATCCTAGCAAATATTCCTAGCTATCTCATCTTATCCTATCTAAGCAAAAAAT